AAAATAACGACTTAAAGGCCATGGTGCAGGTTAAACACTACTGTCGATTAATGGGTACATAAAGCAGTTAAGATATGTATATGAAGTTAGAAATATCTCAAAAATGGTGTTAAAGTCCCGTTTTTGTAGTTTTTGTTTAGTGACGGTTATTTTTCACGCGACTCGGCGATGACGTCACATGAGGCAGACGCAGCTGCAGGCTGCAGGCAGCGGCGCGCTTCAGAATCGGTTCACAGTAAAGTCTGATGGTTCAAAGCCGAGGAGATCGATGTTCTCGTCAGGGCTGTAAAAGAAATAGAAGTGACATTGGGGATGGGACAAACCCACCCATATTAGCTTCGGTTATGCATATCAATTTGGGCAAATGTGTATGCTTTATGCCTATTTTTCCTATCGTCATCATGAACACAACAATGATTTCCCTCGTGTTTAAATAGTTTTCCTTATAATAATGCATCATTTGTAAATGAGAGAATCATCTACTATGTGTATGCGCGTTGTTCACTCTGTATCTGCAAGCATGCGGATAAAATAGCATCTGAAAGTACACGCAACGCGCCACTGACTTTAGACTTGGTTAGGGTGACCAACAGTCCTGTTTTACCAGGACATTTTCTGTTTTCACGTCCTGTCCTGGCTGTTTTTATTTTATTTTTTTAATTATGAAAATGTCCTGGTTTTCAAAAAACTTCTGGGAAAGATCAGATGGGCAAACAAGCATGAGGAAGAAAAACAGGATAAGGAGGAAGAAAACTAGATACATTTTGTTAGTTCGTTTTTGTAAGTTTGTGAGAGCTATTTTTGTTACATTTGGAGGTATTTATTTTAGTTATTTCTTAATTATATATTTATTTTTCTAATACAGAAGAGACATTTCATTCATTCAAACCTAAAATAATTATATATTTATTTTTCTAATACAGAAGAGACATTTCATTCATTCAAACCTGTAATAAAACAGGCTCTGAGAAGCCTATCTGAATTTGTGTCTTGTAATATAACAATTTTCTATCCATACAGAGGAGGCAGGCTACTTTAAATATACTGATACAGATGTAACGTGTACATATCCAGCATTCTGGATATGAGGCATAATGCCTGAATCCATTTGTGCTACACATAGCATACTCACACTTCATGCAAGATAATGGTCCCCTTCAAACCAGCACGCATGAGTATGTTCATGAACAACAGCTATAGGTGACAGGAGATGTGTTGCATACACAATAAACATGAATCAGAGACGTTTCCAACCTACTTACAGAGTTTAAAAACTTAAGAATCTTTCCTACTTATCCCTAGGCAATACCAGTACAGTGCATACAGACAGGCTATATGCTGGGCTTATGGTGTTTTAAGCAAGAGCAGAAGAAGCCTCTCGTGTGGTTTCAACCATCAGACAACAATTCCAAAGTCGTGACCAGACCTATCAGGGCTTTCAATCGCCTCGTTTGGATGAAAATTAATTTAAAAATATAATTGCTTATTCTGTTGTCATCACACCAATTGCCCTCAAAATGTTATAAAGTACACAGAACACATGAATTTTTATAAGAATAAAACAGTTTATTGGCATTGCTTGTAATGGTTACTAAACATTTTCTGAACAAGGACAAAGATTACTGAACAAAGACACAGGTTTTAAGTAAACAACTCTATACAAAAAATCTTTAGCCTGTAATAGTGTAGTCCAGAGAGCCATAGAGAGAGAGAGTTACGACACTCCCATAGACCGCCATAGGAACTCTGGAATGAGGAACTAACGCGTGTCGTGGAGCTGGTAAATTAATGAAATTACTGTATTGTTTTACTTTTACACACATTAGCCGACCTCTCGTGAATCTAGTCAGTACATTTTATGTAGCCAGTTTTAGTTAATGCTTATTGGAAGATAATGCATTAATTGCAGCAAGCTATAGCTTACATGACCAACTCTTCATTAAAGTTAGCTAACTTATGGTAACCTGAAGTATATATTATTTATAATATATATTCACGTATGTATGTAGGCCTATGCATATATAAACACATAACCCTAACCCATTTAAATAAATGAATTGTGTGTGTGTGTGTGTGTGTGTGTATATATATATATTATATATACACACACACACACAATTAATATATTATGTTTATGGGTTAAGGTTAGTTATGTGTGATTCAAATATACATGTGTACTGTACATCAAATACATGTATTTGTATGTGTTTTCTGATATGGTTTAGTCCATGATTAGGGTAGGAAGAAGGGGCACATTAGCCATGCTGAAATTAATCCCGTTAACAGTTATGGATCATTAACTATCTCTCCGGTTTCATTTTATGTTAATAAAGTTTATTTTTACCGAACATTACTGCAAATTTGTACATGCACACTTATATTTTATGTTGGTTGTAATTCTGAACAGACCGCCTCTCCAGACCGCTTTGCGTGATCACGAAGGTAGGCTAATGGCTGAATCGGAATTTATAAACAAGATCACGGGAATCAATAGCCTAAGAAAAAAAAGTAATGATTTTGTGCAAAGTAAAACCAAAGAAACAGCACACAAAGAAAAAAACAAAACATGCAGAATGCAGGAAACCACCACTAAATGAGATGACAGGGACAGAAGGAAAGAAGATAACTAACAACTAAAATAAATAAATACAACTAAACCATTGGACTTGTCTGTGGAAAGAAAATAATGTGAAATTAGGTTCTTGAAGCGTGACTGCCGGGCTAGGTAGAGGCTGACGGCCTCCTCAGGAACCTGTTTGAAGGATGTGGCGATGGGCGATGGGGACAAACTGGCGCTAACCTCTCGAAGAGCCGCAGGTGAATTGGTGTAGCTTTCCCGAAGGGCCTTCATTAATGATGTTGCATAACCTGCAGACATAATAATAATACTGTATAAAGATCATTGCCACTAATGGAAAAACATGAAATTGTCCTGCATATGAATTATAGCAAACATAAACAGTAAACAGAATGTTATGAGATTGCCAGGGAGATTACCCATTGGACCCTAATATGCACTACTAAATGTTTTAAAAAATAAATAAATAAAAAAATGCAGACCATATTTGATGATTTGAATGTTACTATTAAATGTTATACAATACTAGTGGTAATACACGTGGTAAAGTTAGTAACATAAACTCTGTGAGGTAGTGAATTACTGAGAGGTAACTTAGCTAAACTCTGAAGTGAAAAGTGGATAAACTGTTTCTGACCTAATTTCAGCAGGTAAACTGCATTTAGCCTCCACTACAGCCCTGACGACACGGTCAATGAAAAAGAGAACAGTAGCAGTCTAACGTTATAACAAAACGCAAACACACGATTGCGAAAGCCGCTTGATGATCATCACCACTGATCCAAACACTAGCCACGAAGCCTTCATGACAATATGGACATTTACTTCTGGGCAATTTTGTTTGGCTCAAATTCGTGAATCACGAAAAATGCTCTTCTAATGTCATAGTGATCGTGCTTGTAGTGGAGGCTTATTATTTCAAAGGGAACACGGTAGTTATACAAAATACACACAGAGCTAGCTAACATGCAGCTTGTAAACATTAACGTTAGCATGATGCTTACCGTGGCAATTTCTCGCTTGCGGCAGACGGTGTCTCTCGACCTCGGGACAGGGCAAGCAGAGAGGTTTGCGTTCACAGACGGCAGTGCGGTTGGAAGTAATTTAGCACTCCTCTCACTCTTTAATCCAAGTGAAGTAAGACCATCTTGGCATCCCCTGAGTGGTTATCCTCCTCTTTGAAATGCGCGCTGCATATTCTCGAGTAGGCGGCGACAGAGCTAACGTTAACTTAGCTGAAAAATCTGCTCGCCTAATCTTGACAAACTGCACCCAGCTTCGGAAGATCTATCTATCTATATTTACTTATAAATCTGTCACTGTCAGTGTCACTGCTTCACTAGCTAGCTAACTTAAACTCCTCGTATCACTCTCCCTCAAAATGGTAGGCGGGCCGCGGGGCTGTCTGTCGTCCAACAGTCAGCGAGTGCCTCATGTGACGTCATGGAATGCATTGTGGGAGAAATAAGAATCCTCGCTTAGCTTTAGCTAAAAGCTAACATTTCACCCACTTTTCCGTGTTATAGTTTAATTTTTGAGTACCCTACAACATCAGATACAATGGATAACTGTTTAAATGTTTATTACCAACTAGAAAATTGCCAAAAAAGAAAAAAAAAAAAACCTGCACCATGGCCTTTAATTCGACTATTCCTTTTCTTCCTTGTTGGCCTGAAACGAGACTTCAATACAATTTCCAAGACGCATGCGCGAGAATTGCGATCTCCTTGCGATCTCTCTGTCGTTGAAATCGTATGATTATTAATGACTTTAACGCCAAATTAATGACTTAATTTTCATTTTTGGGTGAACTAACCCTTTAATATCATTTTAGATTCTGGTTCTTAAAAAAACTTTCCTTGGGTAACTTCACTTTAAAGGCCCTCTTTCTAGTCAATTATACACTACTGTAATTTGGCTCCAAATCTCAGGTGAAATTGACATTGACAACAACTGCTGTTGTTTGGAACCTCTATTCATCCAAAAAAAATCATGGTTTCCACAAAAATATTAAGCACCACCACTGTTTTCAACATTGCTTATAATAAGAAATGTTTCTTGAGCACAAAAACAGCATATTATAATAAATTCTGAAGGATCATGTGACAATGAATACTGGAGCAAAAAAAAAATGAACTAGGGAGGTTGTGCACTGTACATAATATATTTATATATAGTTTAATTATAATAATTGTGTTTTTTGACTTTACATGTTTTTTTCTATTAAGGTCTATGTAATTGTGTCTCAACTTGACAGTACAAAATCCTAATGTGTTGTCTAAACACAAACCATTTATGTTAAGTGAAAAAAGTGTACATCCAGAGGGTGGACCCTTCCAGTTCAATCAACTTAAAATTTTAAGGCAACCCAGGTTACTTACTTTTTTAAGTTAAACCAACAATATTTTTTTACAGTGTAGTAATCACAACATTTTTTCTTTTGTCAACTTAAATAATATATTCAGTTCAGATAACTTATTATTTTGAGTTTCTGATGGTTAAATTAATCTACTTCATTGTATTAACTCACTTTTTCCAGTTCAATGAACTTAAAGGCAACCAGGTTACTTACTTTTTTAAGTTAAACCAACAATATTTTTTTACAGTGTAGTAATCACAACATTTTTTCTTTTGTCAACTTAAATAATATATTCAGTTCAGATAACTTATTATTTTGAGTTTCTGATGGTTAAATTAATCTACTTCATTGTATTAACTCACTTTTTCCAGTTCAATGAACTTAAAGGCAACCAGGTTACTTACTTTTTTTAAGTTAAACCATCAATATTTTTTTACAGTGCAGTATAGTGCGAGCCGACTTCATTTTATTGTGTTCAATCTGCTTAAATCTACGAACAACTTAAGTTTACTTAATCCGTTTGTGTTGGATTACATGATTGATTTGTGTTTCCTTAACTGAAACTGGGCAGTGCTTATAGTTCCCAGCATGCTTTGCATATGGTTGAATTTAGAGAGAATAAATGTTAAAATTAAGTGTTATTTTATGTTTGTTTGTTTTTTTTGAGAAATTTAGAAAAAGGGAAGACTTGATAGTGTGTAATAGTGTTTAATGTTAAATTACATTGGAATTATTGAACCATTTAAATTACAGTGGGTTACCATTGTGGAGAAGAGTGGAGCATTTTGTTTGGCTGTCGACTGATTTCATTATTTTCAATTGCTTTGAATGAAGGAGCATGTAAATCTTAGCATTCAAGATGCTAATATTGTCACGGCGCAGGTGCAGGCTGAAGGAACAAGCAGTCCGGGGTATCGGTAAAGATAAGGTTTTAATAAATACAAAACAGGCAGGAAGACAGGAACACAGGCGCCACACGGGCTTACAACAAACATCGACCGACAAGGACTGAATAAAACAGAGGGAACTAAATACACAGATGAATCAAACATAACGAGGTGCAAACAGGTGAGACAGATGAAACGGGAGGCTGATGAGGGAGTGAGTTCAGGTGTGCAGACGAGAGGATCATGGGAGGTGTAGTGCTGGAGACGCAGACAGGATGGTGCAGACGAAGGACTGTGACAAATATGTGCTTCAGCTAGCAAATAGCTAGCTAAAGTCTATCATTTTAATTAAATGTCACTGAATCAAATGAAATATAACTGGATGAATTAATATAATAAAATGCCTTTGAACCATGTCAGGAAGCCTTTAAAAATTCACGTTGAGACTACTTATATTGGGTAATTTAAAATTACATAATTCTATCATGTTGAAGTTACATGAACAAATTATCTTTGTTTAACGTAATCCAGTTATGTGGAACCTGTTGACAAATTAAAATGAATTAAAGCCAACTTATAATTTTTTTGAGTGAACTTTTGAACAGTAGAGTTTTTTTTTTTTTTGAACAAATCTAGAAATATTACAAAGTACGATCAGATGATTGGTCACTAGTACCGCTATTATTAAGCTGCTCTCTCCTATTACATGCCAACATACAGTATTACAACATACTGTATATGATTTGCAAACTATGCGCTTCCACAGACCCCTGAGAAAAACAAATCGGCCTTGTGATAAACGAGAACATGTCAGCCAAACGTGAAATTGTAAAGTTTTATGTAATAACAGCATTTCTTACGTATTTCGTTTACTAGCCAGCAACCTTAAGACGGCCTTTCCTTTGCAATCTAATTCTTAAGATTGCTGCGCTGTCAACAGCAGACAGCGCCGGGTGTAAAGGAAAGCAAACAGGCCTGTTTTTTTGGGTCAAGCTTGCGACACTGGCGTGTCCTCTCAAGATGTTCGCTGTGTGTTGCTGACTTCAAGAGAACGTTCTGAGCCTCCCACAGGCTGCAGGTCTTGCTTAGTTTCTTATGCAACAGTATTGTCCCAGATGTGCAAAAACTTTCTCACTGAGTTCTGCAGATGGAAACCCTATTTTAGACTGGCCAATGATGATGATTGTGAAGTATGACGTTTCCTTACCGCACAGCATGGTTGTGCAGTCCACTAATGAATGGATCCATGCCGTCCCAGAGTAATCTCTTTCAAAGTGTATCTGAAACTCAACAAAGAATATAGAGATGCATCTGGAAAAGAGAAAAAGACAAAACAACTCTGATCAGACAGAACACAAACAAGTTTGTGGTCTTTAAATGACCATATTGTGACACTCAGACTAACAAGACACATTGCAGTCCAGTGCCATTCGCAGCCGGTTACTATGAACAGCCGTGCAGATCGTGGGTGCCTGGATATGAAAGGCTGAGATGGGGTAATGAGGCACAAGCCTCTGCAGTGCCTGTTCAGCACCTGAACAAACAAAACTAGATCACCAGGCAGGTCACTCGGGTCAGAGCTTTCAGTGTGGTTATGACAGCCAGCAACTCTCACGTCTTCCGCCACTGAGACAGACGTGTCTGGCAATCGGCCATTTAAGAAGGAGATGTCTTTCAGGCAACCATTCCACAATTAGTGTGAAAACACCACTGGCTTAACCAAGGGTGAAACCTTACTTTAGGACTTGAATAACACACACATACTTGAATGATAAGAGCTTTTTAAGGGGTTAAGGGCAGAGAACAGAATATCCATAAGATAAAAAAAAATGGTTAAAAAGGCACATCTTCCATCTGAAAACCACTGGCTGCACTTTAAGCTCAAAAAATTTCATCATCTGGTAACCCTCGGGTTGATTATTACCACTTATCTCAGCAGGACTTGAGAAATGGTTAAAAGAATGCTTGTTTTAGAGGTGAGGTGTTTCATACTGTTTCCTGTTTGCAATTTTATCCTAGTAAACATCAAGCAGCTTTGCAGACCTGTTCTTCAGGTTCTCGTGTATGTCAGGTGATGTACCAGCACATTTAAATTTAATGATGAAATAATTACAGGGTTTAAACAGCATAGTCGGCAGAGTACGTTTACCACCCCAGGGGTAATGTCAAAATACTGCTAAATGGAACAGTTTGTCCTAAGCAGTATACAAGGAAAACTTGTATCTCACCACATACAGTAGTTCTGTATATAGCAAAAAACTTTGATTGTAGCAACAAATACAACTGCACATTACAAAATAAACACGCAAATGCGTTAACATAACCAGTCAAAGCAGTAAAAAACACTTCTAAGCGGCTAACGGATCAACACTGTGTTATCTATATCCAAGTGTGAACGTTGTTTACAGGTCAGTCAAATGTAACCGGACCTCGAAGGCTGCAGCAGAAACACCAGATAGCGCTTGTCACTTTGTGAACCAATGACTCATTCTAGGTAATTCTCAGTGTGAACTAAATATAGCGTTCTGTTGTGCCACATGTACAGTACTATACATGATGTTCTATTTGACAGGTTAAACCCATTTGAGGAACAAATCCAAACATTCTTAGGGACCAAAGGACCTGTTTGTTCTTATTGTATTTTTACTTTAGATTTGCATTATTATTATTAGTTGTTGTTGTTTTTAAGATTTAAATTCAATAGAAATTTTTGGTCACTAAAAAAAGAAAGTTTAAGAGTAACAGCTATTCATTTAAGAAACCGGGCAGGTTAAAACCTGTGGTTTAATTAAAGCTGAAAACAAAACACCTATCCCTATAACAACAGGTTCTAATTCTATTTGGCAACAGCATACACTCTCCAAAAAAAAGAAAAAATAAAGCTTACCTCGTAACAGCTCGTGTGCAAACAGTTACCACAAAGCAACCAGCCACGATCATCCATCCCCACCCTCCATCTGGAGGAAGGACCCCACCTTTCTTCCTTTCCTGAGCCATGGAGTCTGTCCTTCCCACCGCTTTCATTTCCTAACTCCAAAACTCCCAGTCCCAAACACACGCTGCACCTCTCTGCCTCCACACTCACTAGTCATGGAATTCCTTCTGCAGATGTGAGACTCGGTCAGTGAGTCCGCTGAGCGCAAGATGACACACACAGCAAAACAGGCATAAGTAACAAGCTCAGCTAAAATGATTAACAGGCACGATGGGTGCAGAAAATGTGACATCTTCCAGGTTTGGGGCTGCTTTTTGGTCTTACAAATGATTCACAGAGAAAAGTTAAATGTTGCATGACTGCATTCAAGGGCAAGTGTTTCTGAGCACATTCTAACTGATGGGTTGCCATATTAACTTGCAGACCTTGCAGTTTGTCTTCCAGACACTTCAGACTTGTATGGCCCAAATGAAAAGCTGATCTATTATTTTTTGTATATATATATAATTTTTTAAGTAATTTTGACATAGGCTCTTTCCCAGACAGCAATATAGAATTCGCCCAGATCCGGCCCACATTAGGTACGTGTGGAATCCACATGTTTTTGGTGTCTGAAAAAAATGTTGACACTACTTACTTACAATCTATTAAACTCAGTGACACCGTTGTGGAAAATTTGATGCAAACAAGCCATTAAGAGCTAAAAACAATCAATTGTGTCATGTGCAATGTGCACAATGTACACTGTCAGGATAAGATGATTCCAGTTGTTTTCCATTATTATGCAACTGAACTTGTAGTTTATGAGTCTTCCAGTCTAGATATCGACCGACTGTGGGAAGTGGGAACAGTCCCAACTCCACATTGTTTCACTGCAGCATGAAAAACACACGTCAGCTCAATAGATTCCTTTGAAATTGTCTAATTGTGACAACTGATGCTTTCTGGGTGTATACACTCCACTTCTCACTCGAGTCAAAGTATGCCTTGTCGGTATTTTGCAAAATTATATGTCCCTGGCTGTGTCTCAAATCTGATCTTTGACTTACAAGCCCAGTCACATGCTAGGACTTGCAAAGAACCGCATCGGTGGATTTAAAGTGGTTCCTTCAGAAGTACAAGAGAGGTGGGAAAAAACAACCAATGTGGGAGTCACTGGAGAGCTTTTTTTTTTAATTTGCATTAATTTTATTATTATAATTTCATTTAATTTCACACCTGCAAGATTTAAGGAACATTTGTTGTACATTTGCCTAATTATCAAATAGGTTAAACCTTAGAGGATTTAGTGTGAGAGCTTTTTTATTTTTTTATTTTATTTTTATTTTATAAAATCTAAAAGTAAATACACTGCATCTGGCACACAATATATTATTACTATTTTTTTTTAGAGGTTTGTTCTTGACATTTGTTAACATTTAGCTGAATAATTGTCTTTAAAAGAATACAACAAATGATAACTAGATTAAAAAGTTCGTCGAGAATAATTTTTTTAATAATAGTAATAATAATGAAATTAAACTAAGAAAAATTTCTAATGTTTAGTTTTTCTCTGAACAGCTGAATTTAAGTTCACAAAACATCACTCGCGTGTTGAAACCAGATGTTTGGGAAAAACTTCTTAAATGGGGAAATTGAGGCACTTACCATTTCATAGAAGCGCAGACACGGTCCAAACGGTCCCCATTCAACTCTTCTGCAATCACGTGAACTGGTCCTGACGTCTGAAACTCTTCTGCACATTAGTTAATTGAGTTGGTACATCATGTTCATCATAATGCTGCGGCAAGTTTGCAGCTGCTGGAACGTCACGGTACTTGAACGTGTTTAAGCGTGCGAGCTGTACTTACCTCACTTTCCACTCCCCCTTAATACACGTGAAAAGAAAATTATGCAAGTATGCATGGCAGGGTCTGAGGATTTCCTACTCTCACTTGAAGTTGAAATAAGGGCTGTTTGGGAATTTCCCCTACTGGTTGAGGGGGGAACAACGCCACTGTTTACAAACACATAGCCTACCATTTTATAGGTCTACAGTCTATTTTTATGTTGCTAGTAGGCTATCAATCAAATTGTTTAGATTAGCCTACCGTTAAATAAATTATTTGATAGACACCTAAAATATCATCGCAGGTGATAAATATTAAAGTTACCATACAATTAAAATGGGCAACTCTTATATGGTAAATTCCACTTTTCATTACAAATGATTTATCCTTGAACCTGCACATCATTTTAAGCTGCGGCTGGACGTAACCTATCGCGAAGAGTTGCCAGTTGTAGGAGAAGCTGAAAATCGAGACGTTAAGTCGGACACTTTCTGGTTGCTGACTGTTTTACCCCAGCTGAACATGATATGCATAGGCCTAGGCTAATAATACCAATGAAGGAGTCCCACATTTTTATCAGTTTTATTTCGATAAACATGACACTTAACATCGCGACCACAGGAAACGAGCTTTTACTGTTAGAAGAAAAATGCAGATTTGTGAGCATTTAAAAGGTGTTCGACATCGGCTGCGGCTGGATGTAACCGATCGGCGAGAGTTGCCGCCTGCGGCCGGGGAGGAGTTGCAAACTGAGACGTGAAATCAGACACTTTCTGATTCCCGCGTAGTGACCGCTCATGTGGTGTTTGCAACTACCACAGCTGAGGTGAAATAAATGCAGTATCTGTCAAATAGACAGATATTACAGACACATTTTCATTCAATACTTTACTGCTTCATACAACATCTATTTGAACAAGAATAAAGTTCAAAATAAGCCAACATCAATGAAGAGGAGTCATTTTTTAATCAGTTTTATTTTATTAAACATTAACACAACATCGCGACTCCATGAAAAAAAAAAAAACAGTTTAGCCTACTGTTATTCACAAGTTTCCGAGGGGCGCTCCTGTAAAAAATAAAGTGGGTGAAACTTCCGGTGACGCGGCGGAAGTAGCATTCCAATGGTAGCCTATTTTGTGTGTTAGTTAGCGAAGAGGCTAGCTGTTTTTCCGAGAATTATTTTACTATTTAAAGACGCAAATCTTAATGAGAGATGTCGTTACGGAGCTCAGGGACAACATGTGCTGTTCGCGGTGGACTAAACTAATTCAGTGGCTTAAACGTGATTGTTTTGAACATAAGCTGAAAACGAAATCTGAGTGATCCTGCCAGAGCCCGTCTCTGATCCTGCCAACGACTGTAGTTTCCATCACCTCCCAAAAGACGACGAATCTTCCTGTGTACATTTGTTTAAATTCTTAATATTCTACAAACTTGATCAGCATGTGATACTGTTCGCTACTGATGTTACACCTAAACTCAGGATCAAAGCCTGTGTTGACAGAATACCAAATGTGCCAGTTAATGTATTCAAGTAGCACATTCATTTATAATTTTGAATAAACTCCAAAGCACAATGACTAAGTGTAATTTTTTATTTTAATTGTTTGTCAGCTTGCACAACTGTCTGTCACCATGCCTTGTCTTGATGAGTATTGATTATTAATGTTATTATAATACTCCCAATCAACTACTGCGGAGGGTAAAGGTACTGTTATTTCACCCTTTTGAATTTCGTTGAGGTTGTGTTCCCACATCGTTAGCTAGTTTGGATCGCTATAACTTGAATGACTGTCAACTGTTGAATGAACGAGTGTTAAGCATGTCAAATCGCGCTTTGTTTACTTCCAACCGGAAGTCGCACCCACTTTTGACGCAAGGCCTCATGGGGCGTAGGAAACTTGTGGATAAAAAAAACTGATTTGTGAGCTTTAATGGAATTGACCCTTCGCTAAGCCACGCCCGAAAACCGCCACTGGCCAATCATGTCTTAGCAACCGTAACTATGCGCGGGAGGTCTGGCAAGCTTTCGAACGAGGGAGCATGCTGAAGCATTGTGCGTATGGATTGTGCAAATCTGATACCGGTATACTAAAAGTTTGGAAGGGGGAGAGGAATTGTTTTCCTTCCAGAAAATCTAAAAGCCAAGGGGAGAAATGATTGGCGTGATCTAGCATCTATGCGAGACCCATTCTGGTAAATGTCGACATGCTTAACAAAAACACCCATTGCTTGGAAATATTGACGCTTTGGTCATAATGATAACGTAAAATAAGACGATTAAAGAGACAAGACAAAGGCTCACTGACATACTTAAAAAATATTTCAGCATTTTGTTAATCGACTTCCTACTAACGTTACCCCTTAACTTAACCCAATCCGATCGCGGCTCTCCCGGTATTAGTTATTCCACAAGATTTATTGATAAGCTGTTTGATTTATAATTATTAAGATTATTTTCACATACCCTGCTGTGTATGAACATAGCTGTTCCTTAATTTGTGTTTCCCATTTGAACTGTCAGCGTATAAGGCGCTGCTGCTTGCGCTGGGACTATAAAGTTAGGCTTTAACTTCAATTTTTTAAAAATTATTCCCTAATCGGTTGCATATAATGTCGTGAATATATCCCTCGAATGCATACTAGTCCCTTTTGTCTTGCTCTCTCAGATATTTCACTTGTTCGCCGAAAATTACTAATTATCTCATTGGGAATGTCTGACACCGGGTGCATCCACACTATGGGCCAGTCGCGAAAGCTTGACAGGCGTAGCAACAGTAACTAGGGAGGGCGGGGCTTAGCGAAGGGTCAATTAAAGGTGTGTGAATAAACCTTTTACAGTCTATGGAATACACACGAAACGCACGTGATCGTTGTCATGCGGAATCCGGAGAATCGCTGCTCTTGAGAATCTGCGGCGCTGGCTGAGTTCTCCGGCTACTCTTGAAACGCTCTCGCAGAAAATACAGTAGCATATTGGATTTACTGTAGTAAGCCGCATTTCACTATCTGATGTATCGTTAATTTACTAATTCAGTATTGACATATATTATTAAGTATTGACATAGCCGAAGTTTTATACCTTTGTTACACTGACAACTATCATCACAGCAAATAGTGTCCCATGCTCAGCTCATCACATGCATCTCTTCCACTAATAATTAGCTATAAGAAGCTACACATTCACACAAACATTAAACACCATAATGGTAACACACATGCAAAAAAAAAAATGCAATAAACATTAATTTAACAACATTAAATGTAACATAAAACCCTATGTAAAAAAAACAAAACAAGAAAGCTATGAGGAAACAGTTATTTCAACAAAAATACATAAAATGTGTCACACACAGGGAATTATGGGAATGTCAATTTACGTTTTTTTTCTCTGTAAATTATACAATGAGTTGTTCTTTTTCAATTTCATAAACTGTAAATTTAACAGTATTTTACGGTAAAATTACATGAAATGTACCATGAGATCTATCACAGTTATTTAAGGTATACTATCCAACTTTTTCTGCGCCCATTCTATTTTCACAGCGAGGTTCAACTGACAAAACGGTTTTCTACTTCCTGGTGTAGTATTCGTATTAGTATTTGTTTACATAGAATCAGGGCCTGAAATTAACTTTTTCGGCCACCGGCCACTGTGGCAGGTGGATTTAAAAATTCACCTGCCACAGAGGCTTTTTACCAGCCACTTTTTTTTTTTTTTTTTTTTGCCTCAGCCAAAAAATGGCTTTTTTTTTTTTTTTTTTTTTGCCTCAGCCAAAATAATAACTCTAAGAAAATGTATGTTCTTAGAGTTATTATTATTACTTGACAGCACTTAAATGTATATTCTTACAAGTGAAAGAACAATATTGTGAAATTCCTGTTGTTGTTTTTTGACCTTTATATAAAGGTGAAAAAAAAATGGGAATTTCACAATATTGTAGCAAATTATGATTCAGAAACGTTTAGTAAGAGCTATGTGTGGTGAGGTTCTGCTGGACTCTCTTTATCGCCGCTTTCTCGTCACTTTCTCAATCTGATTCTGCCTCAAACTGATACTCGACATGAATGGACCGGGGGAGCGAACGTGAGCGACAGTTTAGCCAATCACCACACACCAGCCCAAACTAACCAATCTGAGCCCACTGCCTGTTTCTGAGGGAGTGGTTTCATAGACTCAGGAAGTAAACCGCTCGTACGAGGACAGAGGAGAATGCGGCTGACAATAAAGGTGAAGTTTATGAAAAATAAGACTTTTTAAAAAAAGAAAAACCATGAATATACAGTATGTTATATTGCACCCCATAAACAGAATCATGCAAAGAAATGCCTTAAATATGATCTGTGGAAGCTCAAACACAAGGTTTATTCTCAAACGTCAAGCAAAAACTGTCGAGAAATGTCTGCATTTGTTTTTGATAAAGGAAAGTCCTATGGGTTTACAACGATAGGATGGTGATGGAAATGTATTTTTTGGGTGAACTATTGCTTTAAGTATTCTAGACAGCTAACAGTGCCTATTTCAAACATTGTCTACATAAATTACATTTGTCACTATTTGCTTTGCTACTAACAATCCAATAGTGACAAGTAACTATTTTTAAAGGGATAGTTCACTTTAAAATTAATTTTTGCTATGTTTTAGCTCACCTCAAGGGCATCCAAGATGTAGGTGACTTTGTTTCCGCAGTAGTTTCAATTTCGATATTTTTAGGTCAAACTGTTTACGGATCTGAGGGTGCGGGCGCTTTGTGGCTGTGGTTACAAGAGGTAAAAACGATATTCGTTTTCTCACACAAACCGCTCGTTTCGTGTCTTAGGCCATCAATGTGTACTTACATTTATGAGTCGTTAAATCATGTTAAATTTGGACTTCTCTGTGGATGCTCTATGAGGTGGTGACCATAGACCTGCACTATATGACTGACAGAGAAGAACGGTTTGACCTAAAAATATCAAATTTGAAACTACTGCGGAAACAAAGACACCTACATCTTGGATG